TATGTATATATGCCATCAACTGAACTGACACTCAAAGCAGAAGCTGCCCCTAGTGGTCAGTGCACTCCCACAGCCAACCATCCATGGCCGGCCAACCTCCTGATGTCCCTATTCCCCTGCCGGCCGACTTGATTGGCCCAAAAGCTGGCCAGGCCGAGGGACCCCACCCATGCACGAATTCGTGCACCGGGCTCTAGTCTGAAAATAATTATGCTGAGAGAGGGGAAAGGATCTCAGTCCTAGAACCACAAGGAACAGAATTCTCCCAATTACCTGAATGAGTTGATTCTTCCCCTGGTCTCAGGCAGCTGGTGGTTGATGTTATTTTTTTGAGATCCTAAGCAGAGAATCCAGCTGAGACATGTTATGTCCTGACTTCTGACTTATGAAAATTATGTAAAATAAGAAACTCTTTAACCATTCTTTCCAACTAAATTGAATTGATAGAATAATCTACAAGGGATCATCCCATTCGTCACTAGTTTTTTTCTGCTGTTGTTGTGGTTGTTGAAAACTGAGTCTATAATTCAGTTTTCTCCTTTCCTAGAAACTTATTTGGATTCACATAGAAGAAATCACCTATGATTGGAAAACACTTCTGAATGTTCTGTCTAATTGATGTAAGCCAGCAGTCATAGCTGAGAGGCCACTTTCATCACTTTTTCCAGACATCACTACTTACTACTTTAGATAACTGCAGATGTTTTGGAATACATATAAGCTTATTTGCTTTTTTTCTGATTGTGCTTAATCTCTCTGCTTTTCTCTGTTCTTTTCTTTGTGCAGTAGTTTGCCCACACTATGAGAAAATACCATAGACTGTGTGGCTTAAACAACAAACATTTATTTTCACAGTTCAGGAGGCTGGGAAGTCCAAGATCAAAGTATTGTTCTCCTGGTGAGAACCCTCTTCCTTTCTTGCAGACAGCCGCCTTCTTGCTGTGTCTTGTTTGTTTCTTTGTTGTTAAATTATTTTCTTTTTCTATATAACATCTATCATTGCTGCTCCTTTGAATCAAAGCCTGGCTTTTTGATGTCATCCTGACAAGAAGTCTCAAGATTCATAATTAGAAGTACCTTCTACAACATTCCAAATATTTGAAAAATATTTTAAAAGCTACACTCTTGTGTTTCATGCTGCATAAAGTAAAAAAAATAAGGTTTTGAGGTTTTTTCCAGTGGAAACTGTCAACAAATTCTCAGAACAAATGTAATCTAATTTTTATTTACCCCTATACTTAATGGCATTGTTAACAGTTCTACACTTTATAAAGCACCTGGTCTAGTCCAGCATATGGTTTTTGAATAAAAAGATAGGTGCATACTTTTGTGTTTTTATTGGTTCTAGAGAGAAGGGGAGAGATAGAAACATCTATGAGAGAGAAACATTTATGTGGATTGTCTACTTCCTACACGCCCCCTGCTAGCGATCGAGCCCACAACCCTGGCATGTGCCCTGACTGGCAATAGAATTGTGACCTCCTCCTTTATGGGTCAATGCTCAACTATTGAACCACACCAGCCAGGCACTTTGGTTCTCTTTGAATGATAGGTAAGAGATTTCTAGTCACCACAACTGTTTCTCTACTTTTCCTTGACTAGTAGTTAAATATGTATCGAAAAAGCAGTTTTAATTGGTTCCTCGAATATTACTCTAAAAGGAGGCCCTATATTATGAATGAATGCAAGTGTAAAACAAGTATAAACAGTTACCATTAATGGCATTGTCATATCAGAAAGCTGCCAGAAACACTATGCGAGAGCCTTGTCTTCCTTCCAAGCATTGTAAGTAATTACTTACCACCACGTTACTTGAAAACAGAGCTCCCCAAAGTGAGAATCATTTAATGCTAAATCTCATTTAAATGACCTCTCCAAAGTCTTATAATAACAGCAGAGAAAACAGCAATTAAGCTACCTTAAGAAAGAAGTTGAGGCTTGCCAAAATCGTAGACATCCTGCTGGTTACCATTCTAAAAGCTTCATTTTCACTCTTTCTTATCTGGAGAATGCGGTTTAGAAAGGAATTTCTGACTGCTGGTCCTAGGAACATGACGCCTAAACATAAAACCAACCGCTGCAAAGTAATGAGATGAACGGCCTTGTTCCTCCTTAAGAAAGTTGACTCACATATTTACAAGGAAAGAGAACGGAATTGTTGCTTAACTTCTTAAAAAAGAGTGCTACTCTGGCATTGTACGGTTACATTTCGGCTTGACATGCTGTGAAACTTGAATTCAACTGGCAAAAAACTTAGAAAACACTCCTCAAAAAGCATGTAAGGATTTAGCAAATATTTATTTATCATCTATGTTAAACTAAATGGGAATTGTACATAATGGTACAGATGAATTATGCAGTGCGCAGTGGCAAATCCAAGTGACAGTCAATGGTCTTCGCAGCTTGCCACCAGATGATAAGTCTCATGGCTTATAATCCGTGAAAAGAAATGATCTGGCGCATGCTGTGATGGGCCCAGGCAAGCACATAAAAGGAAGCCGTACAGACAAGAAGATGCCGATATAGTACTCTAGCTTATAACTAAGCCATTTAGACAAACAGAATACATTTGGTTTACAATGAAAGCCAAAATATAATGCTATCTTCCCAGAAAAATAAAATAAACATGCCAGCTTAAATAACACACTACATTCAAAAGAGTGTTCGTGGAAATCTAGTATTTATATCTGATTTAAATGCAACAGTGCTGTCCTTAAAAATGAGCACTGCCTTTGAAAAATTATCTCGATGTGATACTCCGCCGTAAGAAAAAGAATGACTTCCCACTGCATCATAACTGCAGCACTTCTTTGTGATCTCAAATACCTACACAATGCTAAGTAACTTTATCAGGCTAAACACAACTCATTTTTAAGGACAATGGCTGCTGTATCTGTTTCATGCGAAACACCAACACTCAAAATGATTTATTGTATTTTACAAATTTTACAAAAGTTCATAATCACTATGAAGATTTACAAAACCCTACACCCTATAGCAAATATTAAGCACAATAAAAACATCGTAAGTACTCAACTAATTTGGGGAAGGAAAAACTCTCATATATATGGAATTGCCACTTACTAAATAGGCAAAATCTTTCTTCCAGAGCCCTCATTAGTACCTATTTCTATTTTTAATCCCTGTTTCACCATGTTGATAGCCTTGTGCTAAAATATTCAATAATAAACACAAAAGAAAAATTAGCCATCTAGGAGGGTAGGCATGAAAGAGGCGTCACAAATCACGATATAAAATACCTTCCAGTTGAAATCCCCCCTGCTAACAAACCTGCATCTGTAGCTCAATGGGTGATGTAGGTGTTCATTGTGACGTCAAGGCTCATCCATCCACAGGTACCCTCTCAACCGAGAATAACAGAATAGGCTGGAGAAGCAGGAGACAGTTCCTGCATGGAGGTGCCCCATTTGAAACCAGGGTCCATGGTGATGATTCTTTTTCAGCTGTCTTTTCCCAGAGGGAATCTTTCTCCTTCACCGAGTTTATGTCTGGAGAAAATGAGGTGGGGTTGGGGCAAAATCTGAATTCTTCCAGGTGATTAGGCATGCCTTTCCCAAGTTCAAGAAAAAGGGGATAAATATTAGTTCATTTGTGATTTTCCAAGCCTGGACATTTCTGCAATGAGATTCTGAATTTGAATTTTAATCCCAGGAACAAACAAACAAAATACCTGAAATGTGTTTTTGTGGTACATTTCAGATTCTCAAGGACAGAGCAACATAAATTGTTGGCTTGTCCTTTGAGAGGGCAATGCGTTTTTCTTAAAGTACGTCATGATGTGTGTGTGCATGCACGTGGTGGGGGGTGTGATGGAAGTGGGTGTGTGGGGGGGCATGCAGAGAGAAAATTGAAACAAAAAGCACATGTATGTACATATACCTGTATACACATATATACGGAATTCAGTGCTTTCACTGAATTGTGCATTTGAGTCTTCAAAAGCTTATTTGGCTTGTATTTATTTTTTCAGAATCAAGTTTAGCACCATACATAAAATATATCTTTTTTCTGGTTAATAGTTTTAGTCTAAAACCATGTAGGTCCACTCAATTCTTAAGACACATCATAGAAAAGTTATTTTCCTCAGTTTTAGTTATCCAGTTGTCAAATATTTTAGTTCATAAGTGACATTGTCATTATTATTAACTGGTTGTATGTGTGGAGATTAAAATGATAACTACTTATGCCTTATCTGCCATAATTTTTTTCTTAAATTTCAAATACAGGAGAAAAATCCTGCTTTCCCTTCCCTTGTGTTAATGGAAGAATATTTTCAATAAATTGTGTTTATTGACTTATCTGTTCACTTTGAGTGTTTTGGACATAACCTTTGCTAAGGGTCTTATAATCTGTGGTTATGGTTCTATTTTTCTACATCTGGCAGCTTTACTGAAATACATCTTTTTAATGCAACTTTCAATACATTGTTTCCAGTTAATATTGGTGGGCAGCAATGACCTCCAGTGGATTCTTATGTGCATAGCAACTGAGTTTTTCAGAGAATGTTTATTTTCAATATATTTGTATCTTTTAGACCTTTTGTAGCTGGGCAGCGTACTGAATGAACTCTTTAAACTTTCTTGAAACTTTTATGTATTTGGTAACTTTAGAATAAAATGAAAAGACATTACAAGTTATCAACACTTGGACTTTCTTATTTATACATCCTCTAAGCTAATTTTGAAAACTAAAATGAATATTATTCAAGATTAACATTTAAATAGTCATACTTGTTTTTATATGTAATCCACTTGCTTTTAATTTTTATTTAAATGAAAAATCTTAAACATTATATTTTAGAAAGGTAATTGCTACATAAAAGAGAAGAAAAAACTTCAGGAAATAAACATTTTCAATAATAAAATCTCCTGATACTATTTATAAGAGAAAAGTAAAAGCGCTCTGAACATCTTGGGAGTTAGGCGAACTCATGAAATAATTTTCCATTTGTTAATATAAAATAGAGGAAAATTTGACACCTCAGAGCAAAATGCTTTAATATTTTTTTCAGAAATAAAGATTATGTTTCTGGAATATATTTTATATTTCAGGAAAGATTACTTAGAAGACATACAATTTAAGTTTTTATAGAGCTTCAGTGCTATAATATCATTTTTGGCTTGTGAGGTAATAAGTTATTAACATCTTAAAGCATGACATTAGCATTAGCGCATCGTTATTTCAGTTAGTTTTTTTTTTCTAAAAATGGATTAGATATACTACTGAGAAACTTCCAAATCTTTACTAGACAGATTGTAGAGGAATATACTTTTCTACCAGAAGAGGGCAGCAAAATTTTTCAATAAGAGTTCTAACTGTAAGTCCATCTGTTTTGACATTCTTTGAGATCTTTCTGAGAAGTTACCTTCACTTAATTCTTCTCTTCACTCCAGGTGTAATGAATGTTTTATGAAGGGCACAATTGTCAAGGTGACCACAATTTTTCTTTCATGGTTTACAATAATTACAACACACCTTGGCTCATGGCTTTGACAACACTAATACAATCATTTTTAAAACGTACAGACAGTTAACATGAGAATATTAAACTATCTGATACTGTGTGTGGAGGAAAGGCAAAATTCAGAAAGATTAAAACATTTATTTTTATTTTTCCATGACTATTTAAATCTCAAAATTTTCATCAATATTCCCATTATCTTATGTCTAGCAAGAGTAAAGTAATAATTGCCTTGGAAAAGCAGTCAAGTTCTCAAAACTACACCTATCATCACTTTTTGATAAATATAATGTGAAACCATTGAACCATACACTTATTTAAAAAAAATTAGTTAACTTATATGATGTTTAACCAGTCAAATGAGTATGTAGAATAATTTATCATAACACCTCTTAGTCATTTCTGTATTACAGAAATATCTTTTCAAAGTAATGCAAAGAAGTTGGATGATTTCTCATTCTTTTTTTTTTCTTTTGCTTTTAGGCTTCAAATATAAATTCTTCAGAATCCAGTGGGTTGTTTCACCTCATCGGGAGTCCAGAGTGTGCCTGGGCAGGCGGTAGTGCTCTGCTTTGGGGCGGAGCCTCTTTTCCTGGGGGTGAGCATACTTCCACTTGGAAGGTGACATTTTATGCTTTTTCCTCTTCTTATCTGTGCACCAGACCTTTTCACAGTATTCTTCCACTCTCTGGAAGTTGCTATAACCAATCAGCTGCAAGAATTCCTTATACCACGGCTTTGCTCCGTGCGGGATACTGCTGTGAGCTGGACAGGGCATCTTGGGAGGCCTGTCCTCTTCGTAGTCTTTGTTAAACATCTCCTCCACGCGCTCCTCTTCTACGACCTCCAGGGTGATTTTACGGACAGTGTGGACAAAACTGTGCTCTACTGTCTGGCAAAAATATGTACCAGCATCCATTTTGCGCACCCTTAGGAAGAGTAAACCGAGGTCCATCTTAACCACTCTATCATCTGTCTTTACCTGCAATAACAAAAAAAAAATAATGACACTGGACTATTACGCAGAAGAATATTATACCAACCTATAATGTATCTTTATTTTGTTCATTTTCATTATAACATGATGAAATAAATGGCATATATATGAGAGGGGAGGGGGCCTAATGAAATGAATCAGTTCTCCCTCTCTCTGAACTAAATTATATTTGAGGTCACTTTAAGGTCACTTTACATCCACATATTTTTAATATGTTTTTGTCGATTTTAGAGAGCATGAGAAAGGGAGAGGAAGAGAGAGAGAAATATCGACGAGAGAGAACCAGTGATCGTCTGTCTCCTGCACATCGCTTACTAGGGATCAAGCCAACAGCCCGGGCATGTGTCTTGACTGGGAATCCAACCAGTGACCTCTTGTGCATGGGATGATGCTCAACCAACTTAGCTACACTGGCCAGAGCCATCCATATTTTTTAAGAGCAAAGTGAGTGAGCTTTCAATTATTAGAAAAATATTCAGTTCTATATAGCACTCAAAGTTAAAGTGAAATGACAATTTGTAAAATTTGTTTAATTTCTTTTTTAATGGAAAGAATTACTAGTTCAGGAGTTCTTATGTGTTTCATATAAGAATGACAAATGTTACTACAAGGATTTCTATTTAGAGAGCTGGACTACCTTCACCCTCTCCCCTTCTTAAAAAAAAAAAAAATCGTATCTCTTAATTATTCACCTCTACATTTCCTTGAGCTAAAAGACAAACTGTTATGTGTTTTCATGTGGCCCCGGATCACATGATGCTGGTATGAAAGTGATTTACACTGTACTCTCTGATTTTCCCTTTGACAATACAAAACAAGAGCAGTGTTCAACTTTGCCAATATAATAGGGCATAGCAGCCACAACCACAATCACGTAAGCAGTAAAGGCCATTCCAACAAGCATGTTTTTGAGCCAGTAGTAGGTCCTGGCATGGGCCACCAGGCTCAGCTCTCCAGGGCTTGGTCAGTTTGGCCATGTCTGAAGCTGCAATGTGACTGACTCATCATACATGATTACTCATGTGTGGTCATTTATATAATTGGTGATAATGTGGCAAAATGGCCTTAGTGCTAGAGTGAGAGTTTGTACCACCAATGGGAATGTTAATGATAAATTCCAAGGCTCCCTGGGGCATTTTGTCAGCTGTGCAAGGTAAATTAATCACTCAGAAGCTTCAAAGAGACATAGTTGGATGACAAAAGGAGCTCCATATGTCCTTCATAGGTGCTTCCCTTGACTTGGAAGGACCAGGCCCTGGCAGACAAAATGCTACAGTCATTCACTCAAGAAGTTCTCCAGTGAGGAGCCAGGAAGAGCCCTCAAACCAAAGCTTTTATTGTACATGGAAACAATAAAACCTAAAAAATAGGTTTTACTGAGAATCTATCCTTAGCACCTGCCACAACCAATAACTCTTAAAGGACTTTGAGTTGCTCTGCTCAGTTTAACTGGGCCATTTGCCAATTTTCCCTTCACCACTAGCTTTGCAACCTGCCTATGACCATACCATGCTTCTCATGATACTAACTCTGAAGGGCAGCATCCATTGTTTGTAAACTTGTGGCAGCATTTGACATAATGGACTGGCCTACTTAACTGTCTTCTTTTTTTTTTTTTTCTGTGTAGTATAAGCCATTATACTCTCCTGGGACTTTTCTTGGTGTCTTCTAGAGATCTCTCATTTCCTCTAAGGCACAATCCTCTGTCCATCTCTGATCTCATGTTTTATTTGCATCCATTTGATAATTCTTCTATTTCCTAATTTCAATCAGCTTCTTTAAGATGGTACAACTTGCACATAGATAATCCATTGTTTGTTTGTTTTTTGTTCCCTATAAATTACGAAACACTAACCGAGACTTATCTGGTCCTTCATTATATACAATTCAGTGTCTTTTCACTCAGACTCCCCCCAATTACTTATTTCCCTATTTCTGACAATTACATCATCATTCTTCTATAGATACTTCAGATAGTCACTCTATCTGAAAGTATTTATCATACACAGGGTGTCCCCCCAAAGTGTATACATACTTTAACAGCTGATAGCGCAATTTTGAAAATGAAATGTATTTTAATAAACACGGCCTTTATAATGATTCAAAGTCTGCATACATTTTTTTGGGACACCATATATACTTCTCTCTCATTATTATCCTCATATCCAACAGATCTCAAATTCCCATCAACATTTCTTCATTGGCGAGCATCAGAAACATCCGTTCCATTTTATTATTTTTGCTACAATGCTAGGCTCATATTTCATGACCTGTTCTTTGACCTTATCTCATGGCAGACTCTCCCCAAATCTCCCCTTTTTCTTTTCTTGCCTTCATGCCCAGCTGGATTCTGTTTCAGAACCTATAATCCTGTCTCTGTCTAAAGAAACTTCCCAATGTCTGGCCCGATTCCTTCTCATGCTGAAAGGCTGACCTAAATGTTCTCTCTTCAAACAGGCCTCCCTCACACCCCTATAAAAGTGTCCTTATTTCCTTCTTATCATCATTTCACTTGTTAACTTTTCTATACCTGAACAAGCATCGTTATTTGCAAATACAAACAGCCCTTGCATTCATTTTCTTCTGATTGGTAGCTTTACCCTTTATTTCAACAAATGAGTACTATTTTACTCTCCTTCAAAGTTCATTTCCTTTTGTCACGCTCCTGATTGGGTGGTTATTCAGACTCTCTGTTGCTTGCCTGAGCAGGTGAGAATTGCCCAATTAACCAGATCCTGCCTTTGTAAATCTATATCCCAACAGCTCAAGATAGAGCTTCTCAGACTGGGATTGGTGGAATAGTTGCATTTCTGAGATCAATGAGTTTTCTATAAGGATTTCTTAGATTAGTGTGATTATTTCCATTATAATCAATATACATTTTAAAAGAACTATATTTGGGATCATGTGGAAGATCCTAATTGTTAGTATTTGTGTTTATCATAGATCTGATCCACGTTCAAAGTTTTGAGAGTTTCCAGCTGCTAAGGAGGACAAAGATGGATTTAATATGCTAATGATATGTTCCAGCCAAATGAAAACCAAACAGCATCCTTATGTAGTAATGCATATAAAAAGTTTTGAAGCCACTTGAATAAAGTGTTAAGGGGATTGAGTCATCACATGGCACACAGTGCTATAGGCAGATGTTTTATATATTCACATACACACATATGTGGTAGTCTGCGTCCTATTTTACTTCCACGGAGATACCTCATTTCAGTGAAAAAAAAATCATCCAATTAAATATACATTTAAATGATGTATAAATTTGCTTATATTTTATTTGTAAATATGTTTGTTTTTTATTTGAATAAAAGTTACAAGTATACAGGATGCATTTCTGGTTTGATTCTTGAGAACATTTAATAAACATTTTAGTACAAGTCATGCGACCGGCCCAAGAACAATGCTATAATTTAAGGACAGGTAGTGGGGACAACTTGCAGAATAATAGAGTCAAATCCTCCTCTTCATAACTCCTTCTGCTCTCAGTTCCCTGTCTTGCAATCTAATTTCCCACTTCCATGTCTTATTCCTTCTTCTCCTTAGTAAACTCCTTTCTACCGTTTGTCAATCCATTTTTAAAATTTCCTGCCAGGCTTAAAGTTTCACATCTTAAATGAATACTTTCTTTATGGCTCATATATATGTTTTGTTTCTTTTTGTAACTCAAAAGCATTCATATTTGTAGCATACAAGATGGTATTTATAATCCTCTTCAAATAGTTTTTTCATGAAAGTTTCATCTCTTTAATACAGGGTGGGGCAAATGTAGGTTTGCAGTTGTTCACGTGGAAAATAATACAATCTATGATAATATAAGCGTAATATGCTAATGAGACCGGACAGCCAAACGACCTTCTGGACGTCATTTCAGACGTCTTTCCAAACGAAGCCATGGTGGCGGGGGGTGGGAGGGTAAGGCAGAGATGGTTAGGGGTGATCAGGCAGGCCGGCAAGCAGTTAGGGGTGATCAGGCAGGCAGGCAGAGGTGGTTAGGGGTGATCAGGCAGGCAGGCAAGCAGTTAGGGGTGATCAGGCAGGCAGGCAGAGGTGGTTAGGG